CGGTCGACTCTGAGGATCACGGTTTCAGGGTGGTGTGTGTGTGTGTATGTATATTCATGTGTGTGTATTCATGTGCGTGTGTTTGTATTACAAGAGAGTCCGATTTCCTTAGGGGGGAAAGAAAGTTGACCTCCCTAAATTCCCCCCAGCTGCTCCTGGGCGAAGGGGGGGCCCGTGAGAAATTGTAAAGCGTGAGTCGGAAGCTTGGGAAGCACTTCAGCACCCTTTACTGCTACCCTACTACTGCTACCCTACTACTGCTACCCTACTACTGCTGCTGCGGCTGCTGCACCCCGGGGTCCTAAGCTCCTCCTCTTTAACCCCATCGTTCTCCATCGCTCCCTACCCCCCCTACCCTACCCCCATACCCTACCCCCCCATACCCTCCTTCCCCCCCGAGATGCTGCTGTGTGTTTATCTCGGTCTACCCCTCCTGTACCCCGTCCCCGGGGTTGATGTCACCCCCTCATATCAGTGAGAGGAGAAAGCACTCCAATACCCCCCACCCAACCCAAACCTCCCCGCCCTCTTTTCCCCTCCCGCCCCCTCCAGGCTGCTTCGGCGACTGGAAGCAGGCTACCAGGACAATCCGTACCACAATGCCGTACACGCTGCCGACGTACTGCAGACCCTGCATGTACTGCTGCACGGCGCACAGCTTCACGTACATTATCTAGATCCCTTGGGGCTGCTGGCGGCGTACTTTGCGGCGGTAAGGGGGCATGGCGGGAGAACAGCGTCCGGAAGGTGGGGGGAGAGAGATAACGGAGAGAGAGAGAGTGTGTGTGTGTGTGTGTGCGTGTGTGTGTGTGTGTGCGTGTGCCGCCAGCCCCCGACCCCTGCCACCCTTCTTCCCCCCCCCCCGAACTCCCCGAAACCCCCGACCCCCCCCTATATCGCCCCCGCAGATCATCCACGACTACGGCCACCCGGGGCTCACTGGCGACTTCCTGACCGCCACCTCCCACCCCCTGGCACTGAGGTACAACGACCGGTCCCCCCTGGAGAACCACCACTGCGCCGCCGCATTCGAGTTGATGAAGGGACAGCCCTCCCTGGACATCACAGGGGGGATGAGTCCGGGCGAGCGGGCGGCGTTCAGGAAGATGGTGGGTGTGGGTGTGGGTAGCGTGGAGTGGGAGTGGCGGGAGTGGCGGGAGCGGTAGGGGAGGAGAGGTACCTGGTGGGGGGTGTGCCGGGGTGGAGATATCCTGCGAGGTGTACGGACTACGAGCGTCCAAAGCACCGCCAACCGCCTCAACTAACTATTTACCTATCTAACTAACTGGAAAGAGGGGGTTTTCCAGATGAGCTCGATGCCCCGGCTATATTGCCCGGGGGCCCATAGTAAATGTGGGGTTCGTCCTGGGCTGAGAAAGGCGGTACTCGGGCACTGTGTTGGCACTGAGAGGGGTGTATGTGAGGGGAGGGGAGAGGGGGGAAGAAGGGGGGTATGTGTTTCGCTGAGTCGCAACTGAGGGATTGGCGTTCGTGACACGCTTGGCGAGCCGCCTCCCCTCCCCTCCCTCCCCGCCCACCCCTCTCCCCCCGGTGCAGGTGATTGAGCTCGTCCTAGCCACCGACATGAAGCAGCACTTCTCCATCCTCTCGCACTTCAATACCGTACACCGCCTGGCAGCCTTTTCACACAACCAACACCATCACCACCACCAACAACAACGACAACAACAACAGCAACAACAGCAACAACAACAAGCAGCAGCAGCCCACCCCCACCCGCATCCCGCGTTGCAGCAGCAATTATCGCGGGCGAGTGCAACCGGGGGGGATGTAGCTGGCGGGGGTGGGGGTGGGGGGGGTGCGAGCTCAGGGTCGTTGCCTGGAGGTGGCAGTAGCAGTCTTGTACGACACCCATCAAGCAACAGCAAGACATTCACCAGGACGGGATCGGTGGTTGTGGCGGTTGCGGCGCCCAACGGAGCTGGCAACGGTAACGATAACGGTAACAGGTGAGTCTCATAATCCAGCTGATCTATGCGTGTGATGTGAGTATGGGGGCGCTCCGTCTGGAGGGGATAAATGGATGCATAGATGTGTGTATGTATGTATGTGTGTATGTATGTGCGTGTCACTGCGGCCCCCAAACCCCCAAACACGTCGCCCCCTTGGGTGCCCGGTACTTGTTCATGGTGCCCGGTAGCTCCGCTTACATTGGGGGGGGGGTAAGATGTATCCATGTCAGGGTGTGTTCCGTACATACCCTCCCCCCCCCCCCCCAAAAACACACACGAAATTA